GATAAGCAGCGTTTAGGCAGATATATTGGTCCCATTAGAGCTACTTGATTCAGCTGATCCACAGTAAAGGGAAGGCCATTAACTCTGCTGCTCAAGGCCACTTCAAGAAGCACACATACATCTTCCTAAAGACATGGAGCACACACACACACACACGCACACACACGCACACACACACCAGCATATGCAAGTCCGACATGCACATTCTTACTTCTAGATTGAATCGATAAGCATGTAAAATCTGTAGGGCTCATTATTTCTGGTTGTTATTAATTAATTAATTCATGTTGATTTAATGTTTATTTATTTAAAACAGTCTCGCTCAAAAAAAGTTAGCCTTCACCCTGTTACAGTGAAGGTGAAGGGGCTTTAGTTCGTTATTGGGCTCGCAGCATTAAAAAGCTGCATTAAATTAAACTCAACAGGAAAAATCTCTTTTCAGAAACAGTCCCTGCAACTAAATAATCCAGACATTCACTCACCAGCAGACTTCTACAGCATGAATAGATTAGTTACACCATGTGCCTTACTTCATCAGATGTCTGTGTGACTGGAGTAATTCTTTTTAACACCAACATGCTGTTTCATGAACTTTTATGTTATAATCACATTAATATTGTTGCTTCATCTTGTGTCATTGTGCGTCATCGATTTTGAAATGAAAAACGTAACACACCGTATTTCTAGGGAGGGGAAAGCACACCTGATCACAGCGACATCTGATTCTAAGAGATGAGGGGAAGTGTTAGAGATTGAGTTTCTGAAGCTGGAGCGGTGATGGAGCGCTGCATGTAATCAAAGGAGACTTGAACTCCTGAAGCTTGAATTGAGATTATTTAATTGGACATTTCCGTGAGCGACCTCACAGCAGGACAGGCGAGGTCTGCTCGTCCAAAGAGAATATTTCATCCGAGCAGCTTCGATAAAAGGTTTTCTCCTTCGCTCCGGAACAGGTCGGTTCACCTCAGGATCACCGTCATCTCCACTGGAAACCTCTACTCACAGTGGTGATCTGGGGATCTTTCCGTTTGTCATCCTTTCGGCTCCATCTTTTACTACTCCTACACACACATACACACACACACACACACACACACACACACACACACAAGTTGTATCTATATGGCGACTTGCCTCTAAAAGTAAGAGAAAATACAAGAATAAAAGACAAATAATTTGGGTGAACCAGCCCTTTTAAAAAGTGTGTGTGTGTGTGTATGTGTGTGAGACCAGAAGAGGAGAATAGAAGAAGGATTTGAGATGGATGATTTGGAGATGGGGCAGCGTGTGTGTGTTGTGTGTGTGTTGCTGATATGTGGGGGAGGGGGCGGGGGGGGGGGGCTGTGGAATGCGAGTGGGAATTCTGTAGCTCGGATGAGAAAAGCCTATCGGTGAAGGTCATGGTGTGTGTGTGTGTGTGTGTATGTTTCAACACGTGAATCCAACAGCACTCTGGAGGATAAACGTTGAATGTTCAGGGGAAATATTTTGGAAAGGGCGTTGGAGCGTGACAGAGACAAACATTGTGTGTTTTTGTGTTATTGCGTCACCTGGAAGTGTCAGTCTGGACTGTGCGGAGAGTCAAACACGTAGTTATGTTTTAGCAAGTTTTAAACAAAACAAGGTGCACGTGTATCAACTGCTGTGGTTCTGTTAACATGCCCAAGAAGAGGTGAGAGTGTTTAGTGACAGCGGAGCAGGAAACGTGAATCTGTGGTCAGCAGCTTGTGAAATGCAACACAGTCTCTGATGCGGTTTGTGCTCCTTTCCTGACTTGAAATATCTGCATCATCAGTTCAGCGCACAGTCCCCACTGTTGTCTCCTGAAGGTGGGAATGAAGGGAAACGTAGGAGCGAGGCAGGTGGAGGGGAAGCAGGCCGACTGAGAACTTCAGTGTATCATAAAATGATTCCTGGAATGCAACAGACAAAAAGTGGACAAAGTTAAGGTTAGGACGGTTCGAGAGTGTGTTAATTAGTGTGTGTGTGTGTGTGTGTGTGTGTGCGTGCGCACGTGCTAGCCTCAGAGGAATGCAGTGGTAGCGAGAAGGCCGCGCTGAGCTGAGCAGAATCGAATCTGTGTGATAAGAGAGATCAAAGTGCTCAGAAACCTCATCAACCTTCCCAGCATGCAACCTGCTGATCCACCTGATACCAGGAGCAGATCTCACCTTCTGTGTGCATCTGAGTGTGTGTGTGAGAGAGAGAGAGAGAGAGAGAGAGAGAGAGAGAGAGANAGTGCTCAGAAACCTCATCAACCTTCCCAGCATGCAACCTGCTGATCCACCTGATACCAGGAGCAGATCTCACCTTCTGTGTGCATCTGAGTGTGTGTGTGAGAGAGAGAGAGAGAGAGAGGGAGAGCGAGAGCGACGGAGTTAGTGAAGTATATTTATTTGCATACATTTTGCATTGCTTTCAATTTGGGGCGTCTAAACAATTCCGCTCTGTGTTTATTTAGCCTGCGCAGCGACGGTTTGCTTATGTCTGCATGTGTGTGTTTGTCTGCGTGAGTGTGCGCTTGTTAGCGCCGCGCTCCCCACCTCTTCAGATAAGCTGAATTATTTATTGAAATGTCGAGGAGCAGCATTTTTCTCCTCCTTTTTGGGTCGAGGCCATGATTCTGCTGACGCCCAGTCAGAGACGCTGCGGACAGCTCCAGTCTGACAGAGAGCTTTCCTGCTGGTGTGCAGGTGTCAGGACTTTAATGACTCTCAGGATGTTTCACCAGTGGATCTGTGACTGATGAGAAACAGAAAACAGATTTTTTTTTTTCCTATAAATATGATCTGTCTGTTAGCTTTTTTTTCCCAAACAGCTTTAAGGGGAAAAAAGTCAATGAGCTCCTGTTTGTTATCGTGACAGTAGATGCTCATACGTTGTCTCTTGCTCTCAAACCTTAGATGTCTTGAGCATCTTTGAGTTGGACTGTATGGGAAAGTTTTCAGCACAGTCTGTGCTCACAACTACATTACAATGGTGGAAGAGAACGACCCATTTAAAGCACATTGCGGTTGATTTCCACAGCCAGTGGCTGCCTGAAGGGAACAAGTAAAGTGTGTGACGTATTTGCTGAAATGCTTTATATATGCTAATTGAGTGAAATGACCAGTGTGGTGGTGTAATTTAGGCAGAAAGAGAGTTCATCAGAAGGTGACGAGAATATGGGGTTGAGATTGGGCGAGTGAGATAGTGATAGTCCTGTTTGCTTATGTGTGTCTCTCTCTCTCTCTCTCTTTGTGTTTCTGTCTGAATAATGTAATAACCATGCAGGGGTATGTGGGTCAGTGGGGCTTTACTTCCCCCAGAGACCAGAGCCACACCCCAGCACACACACTTACTTAATTCACTCAGTGAGGCCCCCGACTCGTCCGCCTGTCTGCCTCGCTGGTTAACTCGCCGTGTGACGTCATACATTTTTCATAAAGTCTGCGATGCTCGGTCAATATTTCATATGTGGTATTGACAGTCGGGGTGAGAGTCCACTGTAAGGACTCACTGCTCCCTCTCCTCCCCTCTCCTCCCTCCCCTGCCTGCTCCCTCCATCCCTCTCTGGCCTGTAATTAAATTAGCTCTGTCTGCGGATGACAAAGGGCCAGTCATTCGGGCTGTGCTTAGATAGCGAGTAGCTGCACTTACAGCGGATATGAAGTTAAGGAGGAATGCGCTGAGCTGAGCTGAGTTCAGTGCTGCTCTCTGGGTCTCAGGGTGAGAAGGTGGGAGAGAGGAAGGACTTGTGGGTCCAGATCAGCCTCTCAGGCTGAGCTGGGACCAGACAGAGAAAAAACCCTCCTGCATTTTAACTGTGACCTTTACTGCAGCCGGACGTACACAAGGGATGACTGTGAAATCTGTGAAAGCTTCCATCACTGTGTTGGATTGACATCACATCTGATTGAGTTTACTTATGTTTTAGTTTACATTAGAGCAGAAGTTCAAAACTCAAACATAGTCAGTTTAAACAAGCAAATTTTCACATTTCAGAAGCTGAAACTCTGAAACTGATTGAATCCTTTATATTATTTCCATCTAATGGAAATAATTGATTAAACAACTCATCGTCTTATTTCTAAGTTATTTATTCATCAGGGACATTACACATGAATTGACATCATTTTGCAATAAATTAGTTTTTTTTTTTTTTTTTTTGAAGCTAATGACCCAAATATGTCTTGAAAACAAGGACTGAAAAAGAATCAAAGTAAATTATTAAAGTAGGTTTTGAGCATCAGATCAGATCCATAATCTAGTTTACTCACCGTGTTTTCGCTTAGATCATTTTGCCAATTTTAAACAGTTTTAGTTTTTGTGTCACTGCTTGTATCAAGGTAGTGTTTTGTATTGAGAGTTGTAGCTTCTTTTTGTTAAATGGTTTCATTGGAAAACATGTTCATTTCTCAGGAAAGTGTTGGTACCTACAGAAAGTCATCCTCAGCTTAGTTTTCTATCTGCGTGAAGCGAACACATTAAAGTGCCTATGATAATAGTATTTTGAAGATATGACAGCTGTAACTTTATGAGACAGAATATAGGGATTAACAGCAAATACTCAAACACAGAGAACATGTAACAGCTGGAACAAGATGACAGTATTGTTTCACACCACACACACTTGACTTCAAACAGACTTGACAGATATTAATATTAAAGTCTTTTTTAATATTAAGTTGGCACTACTGTTTGACTAATAAAGAGATTCCTGGTTATTATCTCTCACTTGAACTCTCTCCACTGAAGCATTGAAATAATCAGATGTTTTTAATCTTTGCTGTGATAAAAAAAATTTCACATTAAATTGAAAAAAAAGAAAAGAAGATCTGTCATATAATTGCTCAGCATGTTATTGATTTTATGTCACTGTTTCATGATACAGTGTTAAATCATTTTAGGATACAATTTCACTGAACGCGTGGTAAACCTGTTTCCTGTCTCCGCTCAGCTTCGTGCTCTGTTTGTGTTTTTCGCTGACACACTTGTTGTCTCTCCTTGTTTGTCTGCAGTGCTCCCCACCTGTTCGCCGCTGGACTTCCACTGCGACAACGGCAAATGTATCCGTCGCTCCTGGGTGTGTGACGGAGACAACGACTGTGAGGACGACTCTGACGAACAAGACTGTCGTAAGTACACTTACTCTCTCTCTCTCTCTCTCTCTCTTGTCACCGCAAACACCCAAACAATCAGTGGCAGTCACATCGATATGCGTCGTACCACAGACACACATATACAAACACACACACACACACACACACACACACACACACACACACTCGACCTGCTCTGTCAGGCTCGAGGGGATGAGTTATTAAAGTGGACAGATGTTTGAGGCAGCCATGTGCAATGAGGTGTTTGTTTAGAGTCTAAAGAAGTTGCCTGGCTGTCACAAAAACACACACACACACACACACACACACACACACACACACACTTGCGAGAGGTCAGCACTCCCACGTTCACCACACAAGGCATTCTCTGACCTTTGCCCTCAGTTTATTCTGTTCCTGTTTTGATTTGTGGTGTGTGTGTGTGTGTGTGTGTGTGTGTGTGTGTGTGTGTGTGTTCATTCCAAAATACCCCTCAGCTGCCTGCCAGGCAGAATGTGGCCTGCAGTGAAGTGAGGAGTGTGTCTATATCTGCAGTCATATTTATGTATCTCTGCATTGCTGCCTGGTGGGTAGGTGCGTATGTGAGTGTGTGTGTGTGTGTTTGTGTGCGCTCCTGTGTTTCTGTCTTTGTGAGGACCATTTTAACATCGACATCTTGTTTTGGAAAGCGAGAGTCTGTTCCTCACTTCATCAAAGAGCTGTTTAAGGAGTTAACGCTGCATTCATGCAGTGTTGGCAGATTCTGAGGAACGGGAAAACCTCTCGTCATTTCTGACGTGGGAGCGCTCATGCATTATTCCAAGGTCGTCAGGCCTTTGAACCATGTGTTGAAAAACGCAGCTCTCTCACTCCTTTGAATGGAGCCGGTCTGTTGGTGCACTGAGGGGTGCCAACACGTAATGGCTGCTGTGAAAACTTTGTAGAGATGTAAAATCCCGTCACTCTTGTGCAGAGTTCTGGCGTCTCATCAGCCTTAAAATACATTAATTTGCTTGATTTGACTTCCTTGGTTGTATTTCATTGTCTCACTAGTACCTAAACAACACGCCACCGCCAAAAAAATCACAATATCTCCAACAGAATTACAACTGAGAGACTGATTTATACGAGATGAATATAGTTTTAATATCTTTTTCTGTTGCCTGTTTGGACTGTTGGTGTTGAGTTTGAAAAACATTGGCATTCATCAGCCAGAGAGGGTATAAAGAAAATGTGCTATTGCATTATGGGAACTACACGACTCACTGAGTATCAAAAACTGAGAAGTCCTGAAAGTTGGCATCTAATGTGAGTGTCGCTTTAAGGCTAGAATTAGATGAAGGTTAAGTCTCAGGATTGGGGTTGTGAGGCGAGGGAATACAGCTTGTCAGTGAGAAGGTGTAGTGTGTGTGCGTGTGTGTGTGTGCGTGCGTGCGTGTGCGTGCGTGTGCGTGTGGTGCTCCATTAGTCAGAGTGGAGTTGGTGGTCAGATTCAGTGAACACATCGTCCACTTTTAGTCTCCGTATTTACCCATAATGACTCAGAAGGCTCCATGTGTGCGGTCTGATCCGTGTTGATCTACACTGCAGGCCAGTCATTCCTTCACACTGTCACTGTCAGTTTGGTGATTCACTTTAATCACACTTAAAACTCTGTGCCGGGACAGGATTAGTTACCGGGGGTGACGTGTTCCTGATGGAGACAAAACTGTCAGAGTCAGACAGCGTCCTGTCAGGACCTGGGCGTTCAATTAAAATTCAAAGAGGTCCAGTTAGACAAAATTTCTTCCACCAAAGGTCCAGAACATCGGCCTCTTATTTCTTTTGTCTCTCAGTGTGTGTGTGTGTTTGTGTGTGTGTGTGTGTGTGTGTGTGTGTGTGTGTGTGTGTGGATCTCTGACTGACTCCAGTCGCAATGATTGGCTGAGTAGCATCAAATGACCAGCTACTTACAGGCTAGAAACGTTCTGTCAAAATGGGCCCGGACATGACGGCGTCTGGGTCCACAATAACATCTATATGAACTTCAATCAAATTTTGTTTTGGTAACCACTTCAAAGAAAATCTGCTTTTGGTCTGTCTGATGTAGATGGGAGAAGCAGAACAAGCCCCATAAAGGACACTTCTAATATTTTTGATTTAATAGCAGTTTCCCGTTTAATCCGAGCTCGTGAAAAGCTTGGCTCATCTCTGAGGAGAGTTCACCAACACAACTAAATTTTGCTCAGAGACACTGAAAGGAATAATTCAGAGTGTTGGACTGACAGACTGGTTGATGTCATGAAGCCACAGTACCCGTGTGTTGAAAAGTAGCAGCTTCCCTCTTTAACAGCATTTAAATAAAATCTCTCAGAGCAGATACAGTCCAAACCTGACTGGTTGTTTTCCGTTGTATTCTCCCTCATGTAGCTCGTATGTGCAGCAGTCACTGGCAGGTTAGCTCTTTCTCCTCTGAATGATTTTTCTCGTCTGTCTGTCATCCAGTGATTTCTTTTCCTCCTTTGTTGACCCACATACTCTATCAGCAGCCAGACAGCGAATTACTTCCTGATGGGGAAGCTGGCTATGAATTTTTCATCTTCATGCCCGGTAAATTTCCCTCCTTCCCCTGTTCCCAAAACTACTTATTATTTCATGCTTCTTTCTTTTCTCCTCATTCTTTCACCCCGGTTTGTCTTTCACCTCCCAATATATTTTGTTTCTCCCCACCATGCAGTGGTTTTATTTCATTATTTAGAGACGGGGAGACAATCCTCCACGCTCGGCTGGAGCTCAAGTAGTTGTCAAGATTTCAGACAAACATGGAGACTGAGGTGTGTCTCTGTGTGGGTTTGAACATGAGTTTCTGAATTTTTCAAGTTTTTTAAAGACAACAATACAGAGAAAAACAACAACACTGTTTCACCACACACACGCACGCACACACACACACACACACACACACACACACACGCAGAGGCAGCCTGGTAATGACTCTCTGTGCCCTTTGCCCTTTGACGTTTGGCTGCTGTATGAATGATGAGCGTCTTGAGGGCTTGTTGACCTCCGACCTTCCTCTGTTTACCTCGCTGGTGGGAGAGGAGAGAGAGAGAGAGCACGGGAGAAGCAGAGAGAGGGAGAGAATCAATTATTTTCTAACAAGTTGAATAAATGAGTATCTGCCGATAGCTCAAGTAAAATTAAATTCTCATTTGGACCTGCTGTTGGGCTTTTCTCTCTTTGTAGGGGGAGGGGCGTTCTGGCGAGGGTGAGGTCAGCTGAGGTTTAGCGGTCAAAAGAGTCTGACTGATCAGTCGGTAGGGCTTATATGTTGGAAGATATTAACTCATCACACACACACATCGCATCAGTTTTTACTAAATCTTGGCAGATTAGTGACAAGAAATTACAATTCAAAAGAGCTAAAGATGTGTTTGATGTCATTTATAAACAGTAATGCTGTTATTTAATTGTCCAGAGAGCGAGAGAGTGTTCTGCTCAATGCAAAGTCTGGTCTCAGGATCCTCATCAAAATGTTTGTTAATGTCATCACACCTTCCCGATAATGATTCTGACACCTGCACTTATGTATCAGCTGATACTGATGTGGTACCAATGTGTTTTTATAAACAGCTGTAGACCACTAACGCTGTATGGATGTGATATGCTATGCTGTCATTGTTGCGTGGCAACAAACTCAGGTTAAACCCTTTGTACAACATGAACAGATACGTGAATGCCACACACCCTTGAAATGAATAACACAACGCCAGTTCCACCCCTCCAAATTAAAACTTTGCAGACATTACTGACATGTTGCTAATGGCGATAATGTTAATAGCATTACACTATTTACTTCACCAGTGGCTGCACAGCACAACTTCCTGTGTAAGCTGCTAAATTACATGGTATCAGATCAGTGCATAGACTTAGATAGGCCTTTTTGATACTAGTGTGGGTATTGGAACAACTCCACTCTCTGGTGCTATCTAACCATGTAGGTCATTTCAGCGGACTGGATTCTCTGAGGTCATGGTCCACCTTTGATATTTCTGTCACAGTGGAGGTGAAAGAAATTGTGTTTATGCTCCTGAAAGTCTTCAAAAAGCAGCATCTCTCCACCGCCCATGATTCACACACCTCACTATACACAGTTTGCACAGAGACGATTGTCTTTGGTTCAGAGCAGAGCAGCGCTGGGAAAAACTGTGCACAGTTAAGTTTTTGGATTTCATTCACCTCCATCGTGTCATGCATCAGTAGAAATTTCAGAGGCTCCTTTTTGAGACCTAAGTCACGTAAGCGTGGATATTTGGAAACATTAGCTATGGGGAGCTGCCAATATGCAGACAGATAAAAAAAAGAGAGAGTCAAACTATCTTGGACGCATCTCCTGTGCATGCAGAAATATTTAATGTCCAAAGGTGCACTAAACATGCACACACACACACACACACACACACACACACACACAAACACACAGACCCTGGAGCCTCATGTCATGTCACTCATCTCAGAAGCGCAGTGTGTCAGTGGTAGCCTTGACTCGTGCTGTCAGGCTGCAACACAGCTGAGAAGAGATGAAAAATCTCCCTGAAATGAAGAAAAACTTGATCTGTTTTTTGTTTTTTTGTTTTTTTTTTTCTCCTGTCGCTCTGTTCTGTGGGCATCCTCCTGTTTCTGTCTCTCCTTATCTCTCTCTGTTTGTCTCAGCTGTCTAACACTCACACATGGCAGTGATAAATTATAGATTACCTCCTGCCAGGGGCCATCCATCATTGGTTCTCCTTGACGAAGCTGTTTGCGTGGCCCCCCGGGCGAGTAAGGCGAGGCTCTGCCATCGATTGCGGCGGCAACAGTAGAAGGCAGTTTTTTGAAAATCTATTCAGCCTTTTATCAATGCAGGTTTGATTAAAAGAAGAAAGGTGGAGCAGTTGTTTGGATAATTGAAAAGGGTTTGAAACTGAAACACTGTCAATGTCACAGTGCTGGAAGTTCACTGGAGGGAGTGATGCATTTTCCACCTCTTGTCTCAAGGTTAAACTGTCTGGTGAAACAACATTTTGTAGCCTACAGCAGCCACTTTATTTAGCGGAGACATACAACAAGCTGCTGAGTCTCAGGTTTGGTGGATATTAACAAGTCCTGGATACAAACCGTGTTTAAAATTTAAAGGAACTGGGGATTTGTTTAGATTGTTTATATTTGGCTATTTGATATGAAGAAACGATTTTTGAGCAGAAAACTTTGAACCCTCTATGTTGCATCTTATACACATTTACTGTAAAGTGCTGAAATATGGTGCACTCAAACCTGCAAAGACGAGAGGTTTTCCTGCTTTGCATGGTTCTTGCAGCAGGTTTTAATGTCCACAGTCATTGTACTGATCATAATTAGGGATATCATGATACCAGAATTTTGTTAGCTTGCACGAATATCATTGAAGTTCCACAGACAATATGAGGAATATATCAGGACATGAACATGTTGATGACATGTTGTTAATATAATGTTAACAGCTGAAACTCAGCCTGAACTCTCTGTACGTCTCCTAACCAGTCACGATGTGTTGTGATCGACCTGACGCTGCACTCGCACTTGCTGATGTCGTTCCAAATGTTGTTGTTATTGTTTATTGTAATTTTAGCGTCGACTTGGTGCCGATGTATCGGTTCTCGTGACCCTGGTCATAATGTCCCGGGATCAGCTGATGGCAGAACATCCAACTCAAGTTAAAACAGACCTCACTGAACTTGTACATTTCTAATATGCTCCGGACAATTCAGCCCTGTTTGTGTTAAATTAGACCCGAGCACAAACAAGGACAGTGGAGACGAGGATTATGCTCAGATTGTGGTCTGAGATATTTCTGTGGATGTTTTAAGTGTTTTTTTTTCCAACGTTAATCCAAGCTGACCGCAGCCTCTGTGGGATGGATCGCCAGATTCTTTTTACAGCCACTCGTTAAGGTGGTTTGGTTTCATGGGTTTTTGCAAGACATTTGTTACTCGTCTTGGAAAAGTGCTGAATAAATACAGTCATTACTGTAGGAAATGTCCTCCCTCTGATCAGTCAGTGACTGTGAACATAGCCGCATGTACTGCACACGCTCAGCCTTCCTCCTCGCTGTGCTGTCGATCAGACATCCTTTTTTGCAGAGATCGAACCACGGGAGTCTTTGAGCTTTAGACCTGCAGCCTCGGGAGAGTTCACCATGTTTATGGAGAGAAAAATCTGTGTTTCTTCTCCTGGGCCCTTCGCTCTGAGCCTGACATGAAAGGCTGCAGTTCCCCTGATGCCAGCGCAGTTTTAGATATAATATCTGCTGCCTGTTATCACATTCTGACACAGTATGTGCTCTTTGCTTTTATAGTATCCTCATTATTTGTCCTCTGAAACCTTTTCTTTTTTCTCTCTCTCTGCAGCTCCCAGGGAGTGTGAGGAGGATGAGTTTCACTGCCAGAATGGCTACTGTATTCGCAGCCTCTGGCACTGCGACGGCGACAATGACTGCGGGGACAACAGTGATGAACAGTGTGGTGGGTACACACACAGAACGCCAGCATGCAAGCAGGTCATTCATTCATTTGCACTTATTAACTCTTATTAACTTTACTTGTGTGTTCTCCGTGCCAGACATGCGTAAATGTTCGGACAAGGAGTTCCGCTGCACGGACGGCAGCTGCATCGCCGAGCACTGGTACTGTGACGGAGACACGGACTGCAAAGATGGATCGGATGAGGAAAACTGCCGTAAGTTATTCTGAGTGTGTGTGTGTGTGTGTGTGTGTGTGTGTGTGTGTGTGTGTGTGTGTGTGTGTGTGTGTGTGTGTTTAGGAACACTATGAGACGGGCTGAATGCTTCTCACGTTAAAGAATGAAGCATAAACCTGATTTCTAGAATCTAGGTCGGAGAACACTTGTTATTATTTTTTTTGTTTTTGTTTTTGTTTTTTTACTGGTTTTTATAAGAGAAGGGAGTCAAGTGCTCCATAGAGACTTCAAACAGGGAACTTATCTCTGGCAGCGAAGTGGCAGGATGAAAAGAGAGGCCATTAATCATAGCAGGCGTTTGTCCTCATATCCAAAATAATTAAATCCAAAGTTAGACTGAAATTCTAAAGCTGAAATGTGTGATTCAAAACAAGAAAGTTTCCACATCTGAACACGAGTCTGCTCTACAGGCCAAAGTCAGTCCAGACTATCCAATCAAAATCTCTTCATGCTGCATCTTCATGATTCAAAATTAAAAGAAGTGGAACCTTCTTTCATCTAAACCAGTTTACTGCAGAGCGTGTCAACACGTGCACAGTCTGAACAGAGAGTTGTCGGGGGGGGGGGGGGGGGGGCTTCTCCGTCTTTTCATGTGTAGTCTCTGACAGTCGGCACACAACAGTTGAATCTTCAAAGAGCCTCAGACAAACAGCGTCGCTTTCAGCATCAACATCTGTGTAACACATCTGTGTCCCCGTGCAGCCTCAGATGTGATGACGGCCACCTGCAGCGTGGAGGAGTTCCAGTGTGCGTACGGGCGCTGCATCCTGGACATCTACCACTGCGATGGAGACGACGACTGTGGAGACTGGTCGGATGAGTCGGACTGTTGTAAGTTTTCCATCAACATAATAAAGACGCTGACTTCAAGTGTTACCTCGAACCTGAAGGAAACATGTTTCTCCCCCGTCACTAACGCTCTGTTATTACCTTTACATGTCCAAACCTTGAATTTAGACCAGCTAAATGTCTTTACTCTAACTCTGGGCAAAAGTGACGGTCTCGCAGAACAACGAGGAACACTTTCCAAAAACGTCTTCAGATCTTAGTTGCAAAAACTTGGTGAACGTCCAAGAACAAAACAAAGCACATTGTTACAGTGGAGTGGCTGATCCAGCCTGTTCTGCTGGTGTAAACCTCACAGTCAGCTCTCCTAACCCACGTGCACGCACACACACGCACAGAGACACACACAACTCTTTAGGGTCCGTGGCAGCGCTCCAGGAGGAAGGTCAAGCTCCTCTGAGATATCAGTCCTCTGTTACAACATTAGATTAAAATTAGAGTTTCCACTCTCCATCCCTTCTTCCTCTCTGCTTCACTCTCTTCTCTCCCTGCATGTATCCCAATGGCAGCGCTGCACACGTGTCGCAAAACAGCAACCCATCCTCATGACCTGCAGATTTTCTCTAGTTGAAGTTCAACTGGAGTTTAAAAGCACATCATAGGCTGATCCAAACAGGAAGTCTTAAGTTTAGGCTTTAATTGGATTTTTTTCAATTCAATTCAAATCGAGATACTTTATTTTTTCCCAGGGGGCAATATAAAGGGCGCATAGAGTAGACATTAAAACACACACAACCAGTCCAAGAGAAACTGTACACATTAAGAAAATGACAATGATATGAAGAAACAACAGCAGTGCAAAAAAACAACGGTGCAAAAGAAAACCTGTAATTATAATTATAATGAATGTGTGTGTGAATTACTAGTGCAAATAAATTAAACTGTACACATTTTGATTTTTAAAAAAATTGGCTATAAGAGAGATAATCTTAGTGTATCTTTGTAAATTTTTCTAGGTGTAAAAGCTCTTTGGAAGACATGTGGTGTGTTATAGAAGTGTTGTTGTTTTTCGTGCGGCCAGCAGCCCCCAAAAAGAAATCCCCACAGATCTTCAGTTTACAGAGAAAGGAGACAAATCTCCACATTTGAGAAGATGGATCATCGTCAAACCTGGTCAAACGACACCCACACAGTCTTTAAGGAGCAGTAATACTATAGCTTTAGGTGCTTTAAGAGATGCTTCCAGCGTCCAAGGTCTGACAACTGTACTTCATCTTAACGCCCGGTGTCGATTTCTCATGTTAACGCTGGATGGCCGGTTGAGCTCAGCTTGAGAACAGCTGCTGTTTGTAGACGGCCGCTCGACAGCGTCTGTCAGAGCTGGAAAACACTCTGCCTGTTACATGTTTCAGTCACTGTATCACACACACACACACACACACACACACACACAGTAAGGACATGGTCCTGATTAACACAGGCTATCATATTTCGCCCTCCTCACTCCGGAGACGCTGCCTACTGCCGACAAATCTCCCTCCTCGTTCTCTCATCTCTGACTTCTCACATGTTCGTTTCATTCGCTCATTGTCTACAACAGCCCACCACATCTCTCCCTCTCTCTCTCTCTCTCTCTCTCACACACACACACACACACACACACACACACACACACCACACCACACACTCATGAACACTCATACACGGTGGTTTCCCCCCTTTGATGCCTTTATCTGCAGTGCGATAAGCACAGCTCTGAGGTTTTGTAACATCGTTTGATCATCTGTAAGGTCATGTTAGTCGACTGAGCTTTCTCTCTCGTCTCCTCCCACATCCAGGTTTCTTAATTGCTGCCTCACTTCTCAAGTGTTTAGCCTTTTTTCTGAAAGTTGAGGCATGAAAGAAAAAAAAAAAAACAACACCGTAGACGGGCCTGAAAAATGCTTAAAATATCTGTGCAGGGAAAACACTACATCACATGTCAGATCTAAATTAACAAGGTATTGCCAGACACACACACACACACACACACACACACACACACACACACCACACACACACACACACACACACACACACACACACACATACACACACACACACACACATTGTTTGTTCTGGTCTTTAAAACTGTGAAATGTCTATAAATGATGATGCAGATGTCAGGAGGAACTCAAACTGTCAGCAGCCTCAATTCTTCACTAAGGACTGACAGGAAAACTGAAAACCAATAATAGATCAATCTACGTCCTGTCAGATGTACAGAAACCCTGATGTCCTCTTAACTCCTCATTTCCTGCTGCCCTTTACTTTCTTAAACTGCCCCTTAATTTCCATTATTTATTTATTTTATTTTTTATTTTATTTACCAGCATTCGTCCAGAATTAGAGCATTTTTTTTTTTTTTTTCTTGTCTTGGCTTTCTGAAACATACAGATAGTTTGTGGACACACTCACTCACACTCACACACAAACACTCACGCACAAACACACAGCCCACACACACACACACACACACACACACACACACACACACACACACAGAGGAGGCATTCCTCAGAGGCATAAGACAGCCCATCCTCAGACAGCATTCCTTGGCATCGACTCTCCAGACACATGAAGGGCGCTTTGTTAGAGAAGAAGCCTCTCTCTCTCTCTCTCTATCTCTATCTCTCTCTCTCTCTCTCTCTCTCTCTCTCTCTCTCTCTCTCTCTCTTTCTCTCTTTCTCTTGCTCTATCTCTCTCTCTTTCTCTCTCTCTCTCTTTCTCTCACTCTCTCGTGCTCTCCCTCTCTCTCTTGTTCTCCCTCCTCCCTCCCTCCTCTGTTATGTGAATGCACACACACAAACACACACATATCCAAAAACACTCACACTCGCAGGCTGTGTTGCAAACACTGATACTGCTTTCGGGTGCATAGCTGAGAAAGATGAAAGAAATTAATTGGTAGGTGTGTGTGTGTGTGTGTGTGTGCACGTGTGTGTGTGTGCGTGCGTGCGTGAGAGAGAGAGGGAGAGGAATAAAGAGAGCAACAAGGAGCGAGATAAAGGGTGGATGAATCATTTGAGTGTGTGTGTGGGCGTCAGTGTGTTCATCGGCATCCCACGCTGATTCTTGTGGCCTATAAGCCTGCCTCTCTCTCTCTCCCTCTCTCTCTCTCTCTCTCCCTCTCCCTCTCCCTCTCTCTCTCTCTCTGTGGGTGAGCCACCTGCTGTTTTGATCATCTCTCTCTTCTCTTGCCCAGTTGATAAGTCTGTACGGGGATGCTTGAAGCTCTACAACATCTCTTTTTTTTTTCTTGCCTTTCTTCCTCCTGCATTCCCTCGCTTGTCATTTCGTTCCTCCCTTATCTCACGCCCACTGTGGCTTCGATGGGGGGGGGGGGGGGGGGGGCGACTCGTGCTGTCAGGAGGAAACATGTCAAAGAAGCACACACACACACTCACACGTGCGTTCTGAGACACTCAGGATTTAAGATGCTTATGTTTGATTCAGCTCTAATCTTCTCGTCCACCTCCGTCTTCATCTGCCGCCAGTTTGAGTTTCGCTTTGATCTGATCACATGTAGAGATGTGGTGGGAGATTTAAAGGTGGGGCAGCTGTGATCTCTCGTCACTGAGGATCATAAGGCAGTCAAAATAAACACAGCCAATTATGGGATATATTTCTTTTCAATGGACAGCAATCAGAGAGGACAGCGAACCAAGATCTTCACTGTAGAGCTCCAGTGACTTCTTCTCTGTGCACATGACAGTGAAGCTTTGAGCGTGTTCGGGTCCAGACTTATTTTTCTGATTAATCAGTTAATCGTTTGATCTATGAAATGGTTGAAAATAGTGAATCCCTTGTTTTGTACAACCAACAGTCCGAACACAAAGATATTCGATTTACAACAATATTGAACAGAGAAAAGTGGCAAATCTTTACATTTACATTTGAGAAGCTGGAAACAGATATGTGAATGAAATAATGAATCTATTATCAAAACCGATTAATCAAATAATCATTTCAACAGTAATTATCACAAGGAAAAATGGGTCAAATCATAAAAGTGATGACATGAAAGATTTTTTTGTTGTCTGCTGTGTTTTTCATGTTTCTAATGTCATTGTGTGTGTGTGTGTGTGTGTGTGTGTGTGTTTGTGCAGCCTCCCACCAGCCCTGCAGATCAGTTGAATTCATGTGCAGCAGTGGGATGTGCATCAACGCCGGCTGGAGGTGTGACGGCGAGTATGACTGTGACGACCAATCAGACGAGAAGAACTGCAGTGAGTAGCTGTTCTGTGTAGGGGCTGTGTATCTGCAGATATGTGTGTTCCCTCTTGTTTGTGTTAATTTCAGTCTTTTATGTGATGTCAGACTCTTAATGGGAAAACGGTGCAATCATTCATAATATCTCAAATCAGCTGATCGAAGAATGACGTAATAATGTTTGTGTGTGTGTGTGTCTGTGTATGTGTGTCCTGCAGCTACGTCCATGTGCACGGCTGACCAGTTCCGCTGTGGTACCGGACGCTGCGTCCGGTTGTCATGGAGATGCGATGGCGAGGATGACTGCTCGGACCGCAGCGATGAAGAGGGCTGTGAGAAAACGGGTAAGACTGTGTTTGTTATCCTGTTTTCAGAAGCTAAATATAACACGAGCTTCAGTGGTAGTTATGACAACAGCTGAGCACAGCCCTCCTCTGCTGACAAACACACTTCTTTCTTTTTTTTTTTTTTTGTTGGTTGAGAAACACAGTTGCTTTCGAACAACAGACTGATCCGTCTGGCAGTTCCTTCATTGATGGAAAGACTGAGGACAAACAAGTGAAACTGACCTGTATGTTGAGATATAAATGAACAGGCAGCAGAGAAAAGATGAAACTGGAAGGTTTTTGCTTCTTTCTTTTAGTAATTTGCACCTGTATCCTGAGTCAAGAGGGCAAATGACATAACATTCCCCTTATAAAAGTTTATGGTTAATTTTTGATGATGTCGTTTTTACGGCTGCACAGTTTCCATCAAATCAAAATATCTTTTGCATCATTTGTACATTTCCCTGTAGTTCAACCTCATGTTAGGATACACTGCAGTCTCTCAACGAGACTTTCAAACAAGCCGAGAAGCAAGTGTTGGAGTCACCGGTGGGTCTGATGTGGAAGGAGAGGTTAATGGAAAATCCAAAATAAAACACTTAAACTCTCTAGATACACGTTGGCGATGTACTTAAAGCTACAACTGTTTTTTTGTAGCGTGGCAGAGTGGGAGACACAGAGCTGCTGTTATACCACAGCCCTGCTCATTTTAATTACATCATTGCCCACAAACGTCCAATACAACCGGAGTTATTGAAGGGATAAATACTGCAACAATACAATCTATCATCGTATCTCCCCACAGAAAGTCCTCCCTGTGCTCCCGATCAGTTCCAGTGTGGGAACGGCCGCTGTATCGGTCAGAGGAAGGTGTGTAATGAGGCCAATGACTGCGGAGACGGGACCGACGAGCTGCCGCACCACGACTGCCGTGAGTTGATTCAGCGTCTGTGCTGCAGGATGAAGACTGAACATTAAGTCTGAAAGTTATTTTCCCTTTAAAGCTTACGCAGAATATGAAGCAGCACTCACTCTGAAGTGCTGCTGTGACTGCCACAACAGTGTTTAAGTAATGAAGATTGATATGAGCATTAAACTTAATCAGTTGGACATTAGTCAAAAGAACAATGCCTCTTATGGTAGGTTTGATATAATGAAGTGTTTATCACATTGTCGAATGTAATAAGTGTTATCACTGCCTTATTACACAGATTTTACACTTAACATTTAACACATAGAGTTAACATTTACTAGGGTGTTTGGAAGTGTTATTACAGTATTATTAATCAAAGCGGTGATTTCCCCTCGGGAGAATTAATGTGTTCACAGATTTCATTACACTCCGCCCATTTTTAATATTTTCGTGTACAAGTGGAATTGTAAGGTTAAAAGGAAAGGTCAGGGAGTCACCAAAAACACCAGGATTCATTTTCTCGGTGGGCATGAAAGTTCAAAGAGGATGGTTGAGATGAGGTTTAGGTCTTAGATTCCACAGCCAGGACCAGGCCGACCGACATCCTCAGGCCTCGCTTCCCGTGGGCCAGAAATGTTTCAAGGCTCAACACCAGATACTTTTTTACAGCTTGTGGTTGCCTATACTGAATCAGCATGCTGTGTTTATGTTCCTCATGCAGGTCCGCGCTCCAACGAGGGCAACTGTAACCAGAATAACGGAGGCTGCTCCCAGAAGTGTCAGATGGTCAGAGGACTGGTCCAGTGCACCTGTCACACTGGATACCGACTGATGGACGACGGCAAAGCCTGCCAGGGTACTACTCTCCGTGTGTGTGTTTGTGTGTGTGTATGTGTCTACAATATGGCATCAGAGTTTGCATTGAAAGAGAGTGAGCAGGCCGAGGGTGTTAATATTCATGGACCCTGCAGAGTTTGACTATTCGTCAGTTGCTTAGCAACTTACACAGAAAGTTCGAATACGAAACCTAACTTGCTAACTCCTGTTCAAGAATCAGGAAGACAAAAATGAAAAACTAAACAGGCAGCAAAATATAGCAAAGGAACAAGTTAGAATAATGAAGCAAGGAAAGACATAAAATCCAGCCGCTGTCTTTAACTTCCTGAATGTGGCCAACTCACAGAGCTCATGTGTTCACGCCTGTTAGTCTGTCAGTTTGTCTTTATGTCATCAGGTCATTTCCCAAATGTACGAACAAATTCCATGGAACTTTGTGGAAAGTTTAGCTATGGGCGAATAAATTATTGATTAGAAATTGGTGTGGATCCAAATCTGGGAATTCTGCCACAAGTCAAAAGTTTTATTGCCAGAATTCCTGATTCATTACAATCAAATATTTGCAATATTTGTTTCCAGTTTCTAGGGATGTGCTCGCAAGATCAAGAAATTAATTCAAACTTCAATGGGTGTAACATGGAGTAGGATGTTGCTGTGTCTCTGCGCACCTCGCTTTGTGTCTTGAATTGATTGACAACCCTGCAGGAGTTTGATGCCACCATCTCTCTGTCCTTCTCCTCTCGTCCTCTGCCTCTGTGGTCCATTCCAGATGTGGACGAGTGTGCCGAAGAAGGCTACTGCAGCCAGGGCTGTACCAACACGCAGGGGGGGTTCCAGTGCTGGTGCGTCCAGGGGTATGAGCTCCGACCTGACAAGCGCAGCTGCAAAGCTCTGGGTAAAAACCGCTGTACTATGTTTCAACCTTGACATGTGACCGCAGAGAGTCGCTGGGGTTTGACCTCCAATAAAAACACGGTTGCATAGTGTTTATACTTGCCTCGACAGTAACTGTATCCATTCCTCTGCTCCGGGGTATTGGACTCAGAATGAGGTCGGCTCATTCGGAGGGTCTGGACTAGATTTAGATATGCAGCGGAGGCAGAGCGCAGGCCTGGTACAGCAGCCCATAAATCTACTGCAGACCAGAGTTAAACCCAGGTCAGGACTGTCTGTCAGTTGCCAGCAGCCAGACCTTCACCTCTATTGAGATTAATGCTCATTGTTATTAAAAGTGACCATCTGTCCTGACTCAAACTTTTTTTTTTGTTTTTCTTATTTACTTTCTAACGTTCGCCCTCTTGTTTGGCTTCTCGCTGTTGTCCTTTCTAATTCACATCTCCTCCATCCCTGTCCGTCTCTCCGTTCCCCTTCAGGTCCAGAGCCGGTCCTGCTGTTCGCCAACCGCATCGACATCCGTCAGGTTTTGCCGCATCGCTCCGAGTACACGCTGCTGTTAAACAACCTGGAGAACGCCATCGCCCTGGACTTCCACCACAGCCGCGAGCTGGTCTTCTGGTCAGACGTGACACTGGACCGCATCATGAAGGCCAACCTCAACGGCTCCAATGTAGAGGAGGTGGTCTCCACCGGTCTGGAGAGCCCAGGTGGGTGCGGCGGTCGATAGGATGCAGGTTTCATAAGTGGGACAGCGGGCTCATTTATCATCTTTTCCCCTTTATTCAACTCTGCTGCTTTTTGTCCAATTATCCTCTGCTCTCCTTCACTTCATCCATCACTTTGTTCATATGTAAGTTCAGCAGTGGGTCATGTATACTATTCAAGCTGCTCATCTGTTTCTTTTGTTTTTGTATCTCTCCTTGCTGCTTTCTCTCATCCACAGTGTTTCTTTGCCTTTTGAACTCACTTTCTCTTGTTTCTCTTCAGTATATTTCACTCTGAGAGTCTCTGTGACTCCATTTATCTTCTTTTACATTTGACCTTTGATTTCTCCTTCCTTCTCTCTCCTTCTTGTCTTTGTCTAATCAAGACATACATAGGAGTGATACGAAGAACAGAGAAAACAACTGGTTATAGAGGAATAGTTCAACATTCATTTCTTTTAAAAAATGACAAGGAGAGAATTGATATCAGCCTCATGGGTATAACTTCAGTATGTAACTTCTGCTGCTAGAGGTTTGTCAATCAAAACAATACCAAAAGATGTGACATCGTGCAGTAGCATGGGATCATGGGAGATATTGCCTTCACCACCATTACTGTAAGCTCCCGGTTTGGATTCCCTCAGTGTCGGTTCAGGAGGTTTTTACTCGGACCATCTGGTTAAGATACACAGTTGAAAGTGACCATGGTACAAAAAGTGTATCTTGAAAATGTGGTTAAAACTGGAGTAAAGTCGACTTTTAGCTTCTGGCAGAAAACTACCACACTGACACATGCACATCGAGGATGTGACGTCATTGTCAGGTGACCAAGTGAGAGGTGCCGTTACCATGATTAAAATCACAGATTTCTCTGGTTTGAAAATTGCTGGAAACATTTGGGTTAATGTAAGAACACGTAACACAACTCAAAAAAATATGTAACATAGGTCCAGTCATTTTTAGACATTGTAATATGGAAAAATTACATATTATAACTTTAAGCGTAAAGCTGAAGTTCCAAAAACATGAGTAAACATAAGTAAAAAACAATGATCAACTTTAAGAAAGGAAAGCATGATATCATATTCAGACATACAAATGTTTTTTCTCTCCTTCAGGTGGACTGGCCATAGACTGGATACATGACAAGTTGTACTGGACAGACTCAGGGACGTCCCGCATCGAGGTGGCCAACCTGGACGGAACGCACCGCAAAGTGCTGCTGTGGCAGAACATGGAGAAGCCCCGAGCCATCGCACTGCACCCCATAGAGGGGTATGAGTCTATACACACACACACACACACACACACACACAGAGTCTATGTAATTCAGTACAGATGGTTTCAAATGTACATGTATATACATATCCCCTCTGGATGTGTCCCAGTTGTAGTGTAGCAGCAGAGCAGGGATTAAAGTCGGGCAGCACAGCAGTGCCCACAGGCGAGCATCTGTGTGGAACAAGTATTTCATGAAAGGGGCTGCAGCAAAGTGTGTTTTCCTCCCCTGTGTCATATGCTTCAGTGGCAGGAGAGACTTTTGGATGAAGCTCCAGAGAAATTTAAAGCTAGAAAACTCATTCAGCTGATTAGGCAGCTCATTTGCATGGGATAATTAAGATGTATAAAAAAAAAAGGAAAAAAGGAAAAAAAAGTAGCTCTTCTCTCAGAGGCCGGTCAGAACAGATGAGGGATGACGAGGAGGACATGAATGTCGAGGACGGAGGAGACTTTGTTACATCAGACATCTGCTGTGTCTTGAATGTGTGTCTTGACAAACAGTCTGTTTGCCTCTCGTCTTAAGTGGACGCCACGGGGATCAACCCGTTCTGCCCGAACCGCTTCGGTCTCACATGATATAAAGAAGTAGAGTAACCGTGACTGCCCCATTTTCCTCCTCAGGAAGATCTACTGGACGGACTGGGGCAACACGCCTCGCATCGAGTACGCCAACATGGACGGCTCCAACCGGCGGGTGATCGCAGACACACACCTGTTCTGGCCCAACGGCCTCACTATCGACTACGCCGGACGCCGCATGTACTGGGTGGACGCCAAGCACCACGTCATCGAGAGGGCTGACCTGGATGGACGCAACCGCAAAGCCGTCATCAGCCAAGGTAAACACCCACCTGTTACCTGTCCTCTCGGGCTCGGGCTGGGTATCGACAACCAGTTGAGTACAGATGCTTCTGGGTTATGGTTATGGACGTGCTTTTTGGTTCCATCCAGTTTATGGATGTACTACCCCACCTCCTCCCTCATGTACATGTTTAGTGCTTTTAAGGTGGACTGGAGCGAGTGGCTAAAAAGAACTCGGCCAGGAGAGCTTTGCAAAGGAGATCTTTGACCTCTAATCCCTCGTATATCTCATTTAAAAATACAGTGACCTAAAAAGCCTCCGTTTTATCAGTATAAAGGTACAACGACCTTGTGAACCTGAGAAATGTAGTTTTGTCAGTCGTTCATCCAAGAAGCTCCGAAGCTGCTCTGAGCGAGGAACAGAGGGGGCGTGGTCTACAGAGGTCTGGCTGGAGCTCAGATGCTCATTAATTACCACACACACATAAAGAAATGTACACACACACACACACACACACACACACACACACACACACACACACACACACACACACAGGGAGTTAGATATAGGATGCAGCACACTGAGGCCACTTCATTATACCATGTGGAGTTAATCAATGCCATATTTACGTTAAGGAGCATATGCATCTTGCCTACCACTGAAGTACACACACACACACACACACACACACACACACACAGATGCCATAAATGACAACATAAAGCTTTGCGTGCCTTTGTTTATGTTGTTGCTTCCTACAGTGAAGCCTGAGCGTGTGTGTGTGCACTAAAAGTGGGGATCTGACGTTTACAGATGTAAGCTGGCAGGGTAGCGATCAGTCACACACACACACACACACACGCACGCACACACATGCACGCACTGGCCTGCTTCTGAGATCTCATGTTGCAGTAAGATTTGTTTCTCAGGTCTTGGCTGAGAGTTTTTGTTGTGATGCTTCTTTGCTCTTGAACATGAACAGTAATGGACGTTAACGTGAGCAGGTTCAGAAACACTTTTAAATTGGAATCTTTTCAAATGAGTGCAGTTGGCTTTCCAATCAATAGATCAATATACTGCAATGAATCAGTGTTTCTTTAACCTTGTACTGCAGGCAGACCGTTGAGTCATCCATGTCCCTCTATACATACATGTAGTTCCTGGTTAATCAGTGCACCTGTCTGTTTGTAAGCAGCCAAAAATGCATGAACAGATTTCTGCAGAATTTGTGGGACAGTCCTGAAACTAACAGGCACAAAGTAGACTCTAAATCATGAATTGCTGTTTTCAAGGTCAGCGATCACAAAAAGTCTACGTGAATCATGAATTTTGGAGTATTAACATTAGCTGACAGAGTGGCTTCCGATTCGGACTTTTTTGAAGTGAAAAAAAAGAGGGGAAACACATCAGTGACCATCAAGAGGGTTTAAGTATGTGAGAATAGTGAGGGACAGGGGTGTGTGTGTGTGTGTGTGTGTGTGTGTGTGTGTGTGTGTGTGTGTGTGTGTGTGTGTGTGTGTGTGCACGCGCACCTGCCATCGGCCCATGGAGCTCTCCTTAATGATGTGTGCTCTCAGGATAAAAGGCTGTAATTGGCCCTGTCCTTTCTCCAGAGCCTCTGTTTGCTCAGACAACACACAGGACAAATGGAGTGTGTGTGTGTGTGTGTGTGTGTGTGTGTGTATGCACGGTTACATTCTGAGCTGCTGTACCCAGGTATGTTAACGAGTGTGTGTGGTTCCCTACACCTATAGTTCTGTGTGTGTGTGTGTGTGTGTGTGTGTGTGTGTGTTTGTTTGAGAGACATTGACAGACAGGCAGACGGACAGAGAGAGAGAGTGTGTGTGTGTGTGAGTGTGTGTGTGCTAACTGGATGTGTGCCAGCTCCTCCGTCACTGGAGCTGGAGGGCAGGCGGATGTCATGGATAACGCCGCTATCCAGTCTGCACACCTGTGCACCTGGAGGTGGGGGACGGGAAGAGAAGGGGTGGTCTGTGTGTGTGTGTGTGTGTGTGTGTGTGTGTGTGTGTGTGTGTGTGTGTGTGTTGGTATTTACGGTCGTGATCATAGAGTACATCTGCCTGAGGACAAATGCTGTATCCTGCGGTGATGCCTCACTGACAATGAGGCGTCTGCTGTGTGGTGATACACTGGATGTCCAGTCAGTTCCATGGGAAGCAATGACAACAGCCCAATAAAACGATGCCCCCTTGTGGACAGCAGCTCAGCTCACAGGTGTTCACGTTAGATAAGGTAGTCCTTTATCAGTCCCACAGTGGGGAAGTTTGCAGTGTTAGGCAGCAAAGTAAATGCAAAATGTGAATAACAAATACTAAAAAATAGTAATAATAACTTAATGGGTACTAACATGTAATATAATATGTATTAACTATGTATTAATTATATCTTAAGTTTCACCAAGGAACAAAGGTATTGGCTTGTACAATAATACGTGTTCCAGGCAGTAGGGGGTTAAAAATAGAAAGTGTTACTCCCTTAAACTTATTCTTTTTATTTATCTTTTCAACAAACCTTCTAAACTTCCTCCTCTACCTGAAGCTGATACATCTGACTGATCCATTTACATCTGGTCATATGATCAGTCTCTTTAACTATTGATATCATACACAGGTTGACTTTGAATCTTTAAGTTAAGTTGTGTTATGTTTGTCTATATCGTTGCCATTGACGTCATGATGTCAACGTCTCTGTTTTAACGTGGCGAGACATTCAAAGTTTGGATTGTGAATACGTGACAAATGTTAAACTAGAGTCGTTTTACTTGGTTTGTCATCTTGTAATCGACGTAAAAAGCTGCTTTGCTCAAAGAGGAATGTCATATGTGTCCAGCTGGAGGCGACGTCGTGCTGCTGATGACGTGGAGATTAGAGTAGTGCGACAGATCCAGTTGAGCCGTGAGAGGACCGGGGAGGTGCCACATGTAGGTTAAAGGGGACATTACTGTGAAGGCTGGTTGGGATGTTTGATGCCCCGTCGGCGCTGCAGCTGCTCCTCCAGCTGTCCCGGATAGAAGGAGCAGGAGGGGATGGGGGCGCGGAGACGACACGGAGGAAGGTGACCATATCAAAACCAGGCGCCTCTTTGGGTGTCGATGAATCACAGGGAGGGAAGGGGGTGTACTGTTGTCTCCCTCATGCTAGGATAAGATCACAAAGCACACACACAGTCAGCCAGTATCACCTCACACACACCTGGACCTTTCTGAAGAGGAGGGAGAACTCTTTACGAACGTTTTGATAAGACAGTTCCTGAGCTGAGTCATAATTTTGACAATTTTAGACCATTTAATGAAGTTAATTAAAGACTCCCTCTCAAGTTTTTAACCTTGTTAACATGTCCATATGTTGTTGTTTTTTTTAATAATAAAGACATATCATGAAATAATCAGTCAGCACCATGACTGAGTATTTCCACCTTGGACCTGCAGTGACAATGACAGTCTCTTAAAAGCATCTTGAAACAGGCAGGGATTCATACGTCAAATAACTGAGGAACCAATCCTGTCAACTTGTGGGGACGAGCGGCCGAAACCTTGTCGTCTTCGTGTCGCCGACTCCTCGCTCCTCAACATACTCCTGAGTCTGGGACAGTTGAGAATGCTGTCTTACTTTGCAAAATAAAATAAAAAAAGGTATCTGTTGAAAAACTTATATTTTTTCAAAGTAAGGGAAAACAGCATTGTTTTGGGAGTGGTACAGAAACTCTTGTATTGTATCAGCCCTTGAACATTTTCCCTCGTCAGGACACAATGTTAAAACTTAAACAAACTATGCCATGCCTGCATCTCATTGTTGTTTCTGTGCTGCAGTTCCAGCCAGCGCTCGCTAATACAGATATACAGTATGTCTAATAAGATACAATCTGCTACTTATTTTTTAGCAAAACTTAAAGGTAAGAGGAAGCGAAAGTAAAATGTGTTCTTTCTTCTTTTAGACTAATGCAGGAGTGTTCACCTGGACCACAGTGGCAGCTAATAGTTAGTAGCTCATAAAACCTATATATAGATTAAAACGATAAAAACTTTTGTCTCTTATTCTCAAACACACACACACACACACACACACACACACACACAATCACTTTGATCCTCATCGCTCATTATCATTCTGGTCTCTCTCCAGTTTTAGCCATTTACCACTTGACATTTATGCTGCACTGTAAAACACTGTCATTAAATGAGCAGTGCTGTTTTTAAAAGCCCTGCGCCAGCGTGCGCACCACACCACTACCACCACCTCCACCTCCACCACCACCACCTCCACCTCCACCACCACCACAGCTCTATGTAGCGGCAGAAATCACTTTTTCCATCCATTCAACACTCTGATCCAACTGGCTGTGCAAGTACTCCTCTGGAAGAGGGATTAAACCCGGGAGAGAGAAGGAGATTGTTAATTTGGACCAGTGTGGAAGAGTCACCCCAAGCAGATGTTCCCACTGGAGACAAATCAGCAGGGAGTTCCCTGTCACACATGTTAGTGTTTAGACCAGGCTTCCACTGATATGTGCTGTGAACGCTGAGACTGACAATTATCAGCACAAGTCAACAATTTACACAGAGGAACGCAGTCGCAGGCTCAACGCCTCAATGCACATCACTAATGTAGCCAACTTTATAAGTCTAGGAGTGATGGGGTTTTTACATGATCACCTTATTATCTGCTGAAGTTAGAAACACATCTCTGTGCTCTTCTCATGTGTTTGAGGTGGATGGGGGCTCTGTCGGACAAAGTGACATCAGCTGTGCTTTTTTTTATTGTTTTACTTGATTATTGCTCATTTAGTCAACAAAATGTTTTCAGAGACATCCTGTACGCAATATATATATATATATATATATACCAAGCGCCAATGAATGTTGTGACATCACAAAGTTGCAGAAGTCCTGACGGTTGGTTTTAAGGCTCAGTTTCTGAATACAGGCTGTGTGCGTTTCTCTGTGGACTGAGCGCTTTGATACTTTCACAGTATTAATACAGAACCTAGACCTGATCTATAATCAAAAGAGACATGGAAATCTTTTGGATTGGGACACACAATAGGGAGGAAGAATCTAGGCTATAATGCTGTCCTTCATATTAAAATCTCCCATTAAAATGATTAAAATCAAAGACAAGAACTGGAAAATATCTGTCCAGAATCAGCCTCTTGTATCAGTCTGACTTTGTTGAAGGACTGCTGCTGATGTTGTGTTCAAGATTCTGAACGGAAAAGTCACATTACTTCAGGAAACCGACGGAGCGCCTCTGCTTTTGGACACTCCGGCCACAACTAAACCAGCTACAGGCCGATGAGAGGCAGAGTAATTGAAAGCAGCTCTAAATGGGGAAGATATGACATCAGCCAAGCCCACAGCGCTGAATGGGAGGATGTTTGGAGAGGGTTGGAGGAACGAGCCAAATTCAGCGTTTGTTCTTTCCATTTTTTCGGTTTGGAAAGAGGCTTCAGATCTCCAAATAAACCTCACAGAATCAATATTTTTGCTCATTATCTGGGTGTCAAACTTAACGCCTGCGTTAGTTTACTTTTGATGATGAACTTCCCTCAAAAAATCAGCTCCTTCTCTCATGAGAAATGTCTTTGGCCTGTTGCTCGTTTAATCAAACGCTTCAGTGAGCATCTCTTAGTCTTTCTGAGCTCTGTCTCTCTTTCTCTCTTCAGGCCTGCCCCACCCATTTGCCATCACAGTATTTGAGGACAGCCTCTACTGGACCGACTGGCACACCAAGAGCATCAACAGCGCCAACAAATTCACAGGCAAGAACCAGGAGATCATTCGCAACAAGCTGCACTTCCCCATGGACATCCACACGCTGCACCCCCAGAGGCAGCCCGCAGGTCGGTACACAGCCGGGTTAACGTGTGTTAAATATGCCCCAAGTTCAACTTGAGCTCTTCAAAAAGACCGCAGCACAACATGACAGAGAAGAGCACAGGAGTTGGCTGTGATCCGCTCGACAAACACATATTTATCTTTTAAGTGCGGCGGGGTTAAAGTCGTAAGTTTCCAAAAATAAAGTAATACTCAAGTAAAGTACAGATACTCTAAAAAATATATACTTAAGTACAGTACTACTGTCCGCTGCTGAGAATCAGTCTGCAGTTGGCAGCTGGTGACGTTGAAGTCATACCACTATAGAAGCCTGTTTCTCCAGAGAACTCATTGTTCTGTGTTTTTCAATACGTTATATCAAAGGTTGTATTGTTCATATTGGAACATCTTTTTTCTTTCACTGTTGTCAAATTACTGCAAGGTCACAAAGCAGCGCCTTGAATCAGGGCAATCAATAGCATCACAATGGAGGAATTCAATAGATTGTTTTGATCTTGTAACCAATAGCAACGAGAAATGGTTGTGTTGTTTCAGTTGTTTAAGTTTCAATAATGTTAATATCTGCATCATTTTTTTTGTTATAAAAAAGCTCTGACAATAACATGTCGTCCTGTAAATGGACAAAGGGTGGTGAAAGGTAGAGCTTACTATTATTATTTATATTACACTCTACATTCATTTCAGTTTGAGTCAAAAGCAAAAGAAAACTGCTGTTCTCCATTCATGAGGCTTGAAGGCTCCTTTTATTGGCCATTTGTTTACCTCACATCCCTTCAAATCTGTAAATCCTGGGTGAGAACAATGGACCCATTTTTAAATAAAAAATGTCCATGTTTGCAGCCTGAAGCAGAAGAAAATGTTCATCAGGGCATCAGGCGGGAGAATGAAATGCTGAACAACAAAGCATCAAACAAAGAGTCAATGTTTGAGGGCGGAAGATGAGCTGGTTGAGGACAGACAGGGAAAATAGGGAAACTATCTTTAGGATGTTATCACATGCAGGAGTGGAAACTTTTCTCACGTGGTGGCAAACTGTGAGATGATAGCACGATCTGTTGCACTAGTGTCAGACGCTGCGGTAGAACGGCCAGTCAAGGTGTTTTATCAGCACGAAAGCGAAGACTTGTGTTCTTTGCTAACACACCATGTTGAACTTGAGTTCAGGCCAAGAGAAAGTTTTGGTTATCATGCTGATAAAACATTGTAAACAGTCTTGACACTAATATGAACTGTGAGCTGCCTCTGTGTTGGCAGAGAGGTCAGTCACTTCCTTTTTGTTTTGGTTGAGATTTAGTGAAGTCATGTTAGTTCACACAATGAACAGATTTGAACTCTGCATTAATTAAACAAAGCAAAGAGGCTTCTGGACTCAAGATCCAGACGCACACTGTGACATTAAGAAGAACAAGCTCTGCAGTTGAGTTCATTTCACTTTTGAAACAGAAACATCTTAATTTTACAAATGTTTTTATTTCCAGACGACGTAGCGCTGCTCAGAGGGCGAATCATAACCTCTTGTCTTGTAAACACAACAGTGGTTGAGGCTCTTGTCAAGTCAGGGTCACCACCACCCGTTCCTGGCAGACAACCACGTTCAGCAGCAGAAAAAAACATACACAGCCTCATGTATAAACCATAAGCTTTTATGTACAAATGAACTGCAGAGAGTGAGTAAGCACATTTCCAAAAGTGCTGAACTATTCCTTTAAATACATTTACCTGGAAAGAATCAAAATACTCTTAATTCAGTTTAAATTAAAATTCAGGGTTTTATAACTTGCATCTTATTTTAGTTTTCTCTCACAATCTTAATTGGAGACATTGGCTGTGTATGAAATGAATATCACTGTTAGATGATAATCACTATGTCCTCAAATTTCAACAATTAAATAAATTAGCAAAATGTCAGCATAGATAATAGGAATGATTTCGCAGCATGCTGCAGAGAGGCAGGCAGAAAATGTAGAGAGATAAGATGACATGCAACTGAGGTCCCTGGTTGGATGCAAAAAATAAGAAATAAAAGCAATTTCTAACCCCCATAAATCACCACATACTGAGCCGTGTGTGTGTCTGTCCTGCAGGCGGCAGGAACCGCTGTGGCACCAACAACGGAGGCTGCAGCCACCTGTGTCTCCCCAGCAACAAGACGTACACCTGTGCCTGTCCCACCGGCTTCAAGAAGGTGGACCAATACAACTGCGCCAACGGTGAGTTCCCAAACACACAGAACATTAATGTCAACGCTGTTTAGGTGGAAACCTTGTATGTCCAAAACTGTTAATTTTCAGGAAGTGGAAATAATTGAAAACCGCATTATTTAATCACAAACTCTTGTTAATACTTTTTATTGGTTAGATATTTGTAAAACCCACAAACAGTGATCTATAGCATTAATTTATAGTAAATAAAAAGACAAAATATGGAGATAAGAGGTTTCCGCCTGATAGCGATGATATGTATCATATTTCAATGGATGTTATATATTTATTTATTTATGTAACAATAAATGCCAACAAGTTAGCACTAGATTATTATTGAATGCATTAATAATATTAATATTTAATATATTTTATGTAGTGGTTATTATAAACCCTCACAGTTATGTTTGTGCCATAGTGATTGAAGTTATTATATAAATAAAGCATGCAGAGGCAAGACATCAAGACATTACAAGTGAAATTCCAACTAAAGGTAAAAGTAAAAATGACATAATTAAAAGTAAAAATGACATGTTATGGTCCAATGCAGTTAAATTACTGCTGAACTAAAATTGATGGTATTTATTAGATAAGATTTTATTGACTATTTTTGTTAGTTTTGTGACAGTTGCACTGCTTGAAGTAGAAGTGTTTGACACGCAAACACCCTTTAGTTTCTACATTTTCTTATCATCATTCTAGATGATTATATGAGGGGAAGAGTTATGATGATATAATGATAATAATATAACATAATGAGTCAGATTGGTTGGATTTGCCCTTTAAGGCCTGCTAGTCGTTTGTGTGGTAGTGCTGTTTTGCTGTGTTCACTGTTGACCCCACTGTTAAACCTAGAAGACTGACAGAAGACCTTTGGTCTTTAATCAGGTCTTGACAAGTTCCTGCTTTTTGCCCGAAGGACGGACATCCGACGAGTCAGCTTTGATACAGAGGACATGTCCGATGATGTCATCCCTCTGGCTGACGTGCGCAATGCCGTGGCGCTGGACTGGGACGCCAAAGACGGCTACATCTACTGGACGGACGTCACCACCGACTCTATCAACAGAGCGCTGTGGAACGGCGCCAAGCAGGAGGTCAGTGACATTTATACTCTGGCTGAACTCAACACAAGACGTCCCATCATTTCTCATCTGTCCTTAGACTGAACAGAGGGAAGCAGCAGCTGAATACAGGAGGATTTAAGTTAATGCAATACTGCCATCTACTGGGGCTTTATACAAGGTGTAGCGTTTAGTTGACGTGTGTTAGATTCAGTTCACCTTGTTCTCCACTGCACATAATCACACAGAGACACAAAAACATGTTCCAGTAAGATTTTGAATTAGTAATGATAGTAATAATAATAGTAGCTGTGAAATAGTGGCTTTCATTTATACTCTTGATTTATCAATATCAGTGGCAGATCCTTGTCCTTGTCCTTCTCTCCTACGTGAATAAATAACACCAAATTCTATATACTGTATCTTCTATATATCTCCAGGTGGTGGTGGACACCAGTCTGGAGAGCCCGGCAGGTTTGGCGATTGACTGGGTGACCAGCAAGCTCTACTGGACTGATGCTGGTAATGCTTCATGCATCATGTACAATCACTGTCATGACTAGTGCATGCTGTCAGATTTCATCAAGTCAAGTCATGTCATGTGTTGCGATTCTCAGGAACAGATCGTATTGAAGTTTCTAACGCTGACGGGAGCATGCGGACCGTCCTGATCTGGGAGAACCTGGACCGGCCCAGGGACATTGTCGTCGACCCGATCGGAGGGTGAGATATTGAGAAGATTGAAACAGTAACGTATGAACCTGATCCTGGCATTCTCATCATTTCTCATTTGTCTTATTCTTTCTCCGTAGTTTCATGTACTGGACCGACTGGGGTGCCAACCCGAAGATCGAGCGTGCGGGAATGGACGCCTCCAGTCGCATAGTCATCATCTCATCCAATCTGACTTGGCCCAACGGGCTGGCTATTGACTACCAGACCAAACGCCTGTACTGGGCCGATGCTGGCATGAAGACTATTGAATTTGGCAACTTTGATGGTTCTGACCGACAGGTAAAGAGTGTTTTTAAGTTGTTATGCCGTTTTTATCCTCACAAAGTTCATGTTTCTTTGCTGATTTGTTTGAGAAACTTTATAAGGTAAAATTTAAATAGTAGGAATAAAATATTTAGTTGGCAGCAGTTTGATAAATGGAGATTTACTTTCTAGTTTTTCTGTTCCTTTGGAATCAACACTGTAAACAGATGTTTTAGGGAGGTGTATGAACCTCACCAGATCTCTGCTGCTGTTTTTGCGTACAGGTTTTGATTGGCAGCCAGCTGCCTCACCCCTTCGGCCTGACTGTGCACGAGGACAAGCTGTACTGGACAGACTGGCAGTCCAAGAGCATCCAGAGCGCTGACAAGCTCACCGGCTTGGGTCGGCACACACTGGCCGAAAACCTGGAGAACCTCATGGACATTCACATGTTCCACCGACACCGCGAGACAGGTCTGTGTGCGTCCGCATGCTAGATCAAAACTGAAGCATACAAGTACAGTGCAGTCAGCAAGTACAAGGGCAGTGACACATTTTTCATTTTTAATGTTTTTCAACAAACAAATTAACTTATTTGTATTGCACCTTTCATGCAAACAATGCAGCTCAAAGTACTTTACAATAAAAACATAGGTTCAAAAACGATACATGTACAAAATGATGGTTTGTGCATGTGCAATAAAAAAAAATTAAAAAATGAAGGCAGACAGCTGTCAGTTTTGTTGAGCTGAAATTAATGAAACAGTGATGGCAAGATTTCAGTGCAGCTGAAATGTGATGATGTTTACACCCACATCAGATGAATAGTGTAGGAGCTCCAGCCATTTTTATTAGTTAATAACTATTATTTCCCCAAGCTTGGCAAATGGGCCTGAGTTAGCCTGTCCTGTTAGCATTAGCTTAAGCAGCCAAAGTGCAGAGCATATTTCAAAACCCTGTCCTCAAGACATGTAGAAATGATTATGGTTATGCATAGTACAAACATATGTTTAACATCACCAGTGCAGGCCTGGCGTTCAGCTTGCAGAAAATAATTACAATTTAAATTGCACTTAAAAAGAGAAATCATAATTTAATGTTTCTGTATATTTTTCAACTCTAGTCTACATGTATGTTAAGGACCGTTGTTCTGTTGGATTTGTTAGAAAAAGGACTTTGAGTTTGATTTCAATTCACTTCAAACACTCGTAAAACTCTTAGTTATTACTTCACTTCAAATCCAGTGTGCTACATATACAAATAAAAGATGTGTCACAGTCCTTATACTTACGAACCACACTTTTATCTCCTCTGTCCTCTCCTGGGCTCGTGTAGTCTCTTGTTACAAAGATAAAAAAAAAAAAAAAAAAACCTTTCTGCTTTTCTGATTTTTGCCGCCTTTTCTCAGCTCAGATCCAGTGTCTCTGCTGACACTGGGAGGATTACAGGTAAACTGAACCCACATCATTGGCTGAGAGTGCAGGGAGCCTCAGGGGCTCATGCCGAACTAAAACCCCACTGATCTCACTGATGTGTGGGGGGCTTTCCTGTGTTCTCTGACGGCTCTCACTGTAGCGTAGCGTAATGTGTTTCTTTCTTGTTTGCCCCACTTTCTTTCATTCCCTTTCCATTCCTCGCCTCTAAGCTGACCTAGAAAGAAAGTGGGATGGTGGATGAGCTGAGTCTGGTTGTGTGTCTCCATCTGTAGTGCGTAACCCTTGTGCGGTGAATAATGGAGGCTGCAGCCACCTCTGTCTGCTGGCTCCTGCTCCCAAAGCCTCCAGCTGTGCCTGTCCCACTGGGATCAACCTGCAGACGGATGGAAAGACCTGCACGCCTGGTATGAAACAACCTCTGTTTGTATTTCAGAAAAAATGTACCCAAAAATTAAAACGGGAGTATCATATTAAGAGGAAGCCTCTTATAACCTAAGATCTTACCTCATAATCACATCTATGCATCTCATCTATTTGTCTTCAGTGTAAAAAAATAACCCAGTTACTTGTCAGTGTTAAGATAATGCAGTATGACTTCTCACGGTGGAGATGAACCAAAATGCAAAGAAATATCAGCTAAAAAAAAGGGTTTCTGGTGAATCCCCTATCGCAACCACAACGCAACATTATACTTAATATCTGCATCAACAAAGGCTTGATGGGAATAGTGGAACAATAGTAGTGACAAAATCCTTGAAAAATCTCTTTTATACGTCTGCAGATAAAAGGAGAGAAAATTACACAGAAACAGCATCGAGTTCAAAGGGTTAATATCAAAAACTTTGGCTCCCAGGAAGATAAAAGCGTGTCAGCGCCCTTTGTGTTCTGACAGAAAGGTGCTGTGATGTGTGCTGATGTGTGTGTGTGTGTGTGTGTGTGTGTGTGTGTGTGTGTGTGTGTGTCTGCAGGAATGAACAGCTTCCTGATCTTTGCACGGAGGACGGACATCAGGATGGTTTCTCTGGATATCCCCTACTTCGCTGATGTGGTTCTGGCTGTTAATAGCTCCATGAAAAATACCATCGCCATCGGTGTCGACCCCAAAGAAGGTTTGTATGTCTTGTTTTAAAATACTTAATTCAGTCGTATCCTGCACACTGCTCTTGCTCAGCGTCACAATTTATTGATCATCATAATGTTTCAGTCTCTTATTTTTAATAATACACTTCTGACGAAAGTCTAGAGAGACCGAAACCTTAAGATGTTCAATAAATTGGGATGCTGAGCAAGAGCAGTGAGCGGGATATTCTTCTTTTCAAGACTGAAGTGACATTTTCCGATGCACCAGCACCTAAAACATTTGGATGTATGAGTATCTTCATTGAGAAAAATGCCTAGGTGTCCTTATGTGTCTGTGTATGCCTCGTCTCTTGCAGCAAAAGTGTATTGGTCTGACAGTACACTGAAGAAGATCAGCAGAGCCAACATCAATGGAACAGCACATGAAGACATCATATCTACAGGTAAGCAGGATGACTCACATGTACGATACTGTTTTAGCTCCACCCCAGTCGTAGCGTCATGAGTCCATCTTTGTCTCTCTCCACAGGGTTGGTGACAACTGACGGTCTGGCGGTGGACGCTCGTGGCAGGAAGATCTACTGGACAGACACGGGAACCAACCGCATTGAGGTTGCCAACCTGGACGGCTCCATGAGGAAAGTTCTCGTCTGGCAGAACCTGGACAGCCCTCGAGCCATCGCTCTCTACCATGAGATGGGGTGAGGCTGCTAGAGCACAACAGCTTTTTATTTTCAGAGCATTTGGTGCAAATCTCCGAGTGTACTGTCAAAGATGTAACTGAAGAGATCATGATCCTCAGTGGTAGCTCTAGTTCAGCATGACTGTAGTGTATGTGCTGGTCTCGTGTCCCTGCATGTCCTCATCACCTACTTCTAGCCTTGTTGCACTGTCTGACCGTCGACATCGGTGTCCTGTCTCTCTCCTCCAGTTATATGTACTGGACGGACTGGGGAGAGCACGCTAAGCTGGAGCGTTCGGCGATGGATGGATCAGACCGCGTGGTCCTCATCAGTAACAACTTGGGCTGGCCCAACGGCCTGGCCATCGACATGGCCGGCTCACAGCTACTGTGGGCTGACGCTCACACAGAGGTCGGCTGTGACTCCTCATGACACTCACTTGGTCTCTTCGTTTTTAAGGCCTTGTAATGCTGACCTTCTCGTGTCTTTGTCTGGTATTGAGGCGTCTGACCTGAACGGGCAGAATCGCCGCACCCTCGTGACTCCAGTCCAGCACCCGTACGGTTTAACCCTGCTGGGGTCCCATATCTACTGGACCGACTGGCAGAGCCGCAGCATCCAGCGAGCCGACAAGAACACTGGGGCCAACACTATCACAGTGCGGGCCAACCTGCCAGGCCTGATGGACATCCAGGCTGTAGACAGGGAGAAACCACTGGGTAAGTCATTGGTTATTGAGTTGCATTGTGGGAAGTGTAGAATACAGTATTCTTGGAACGTCTGTTTTATTTTAAGTGCACCTCAGTCCTCTTTGCACCAAGCCGTCTGTGTCTGGCCTCTCCTCAGGTTTTAATAAGTGTGGCAGGAGGAACGGGGGCTGCACCCACCTGTGCCTGCCTCGTCCCAATGGCACGTCCTGCGCCTGTCCCACCGGCATCTTGCTCAAGGGAGACGGCAGGTCATGTGACGACTCCCCGGAGACGTACCTGCTCTTCTCCAACCGTGTCAGTGTGCGCAGAATCTCCCTGGACACCAACGACCACACTGACGTGCACGTACCGGTGCCCGAGCTGCACAATGTCATATCACTGGACTACGACAGCGTAGACGGAAAACTTTACTACACTGATGTCACCCTCGACGTTATCAGGTGCGAACACAAACGTCCGCACGTAAACTCTCTCATGCCATTTGTGTTTTATCTTTGATTTAGTAATTAGCATTTTATGATTATCTGTATTAACCAAGGTCAGTCATTGTCTAAACAAAAACAAAGAACAGTGTAATTAAGGGAGGTCTGAGTATACGTAAGTAGAAAGTCTGGGAAGGTAATATCTGTATATACACAGATTCTGGATAAAGTTGAAATAAGTGTCATTGTTATTTGAATTTTGCAGAGAAAAAAAAAAGACATTCCCTTCAGAGTGAAACATTTTAAATGTATATTATAGTTAAGTACAGAATAACAAAACAAATCAGAAAAAAAAGTACTTTAACCCTAACTCACATTAAGACAACAGAATAAAATATTTAATTTATTTCATATGTTTTATTTGCTCTAATCACGTCGCCCTATGTCATCTAATGTCCATCCTTTACATAGGCGTGCAAACCTAGACGGCACCGACATGGAGACGGTGATCAGTCAGGGCCTGAAGACCACGGATGGGCTGGCTGTAGACTGGGTGGCCAGAAACATGTACTGGACCGACACGGGACGCAACACCATCGAGGTGGCCCGCCTGGATGGAACGAGCCGCAAGGTCCTGGTGAACAACAGTTTGGATGAACCCAGAGCCATCGCAGTGTTCCCGAGCAAAGGGTGAGAGGGGGGGGAGAAGGCTTCACCCACAAATTAAAATTTGGGTTTTGACTCGAGCTGTTAAAGCTGTTAAAAGACATTTCTGAAGCGTTGTTATCTGTAATGGGGCTGTTAAAAGCCAGATAATGAACTGAAGGATTTGCAGTTTGTTTTGACAATAGCCAGTCTCCTCACCAGCTCGGCCTTGTCCCTGCAGGTTCCTGTTCTGGACCGACTGGGGTCACATCGCAAAGATTGAACGATCTCACTTGGACGGCTCGGACCGAAAGGTCCTGATCAATACGGACCTAGGCTGGCCCAATGGTCTCACGCTAGACTACGACACACGAAGGTCAGAGAGAGAAGCACATCTCTCGGGGGAAATACCTGTATGGATTTTTTTTTCCACAAAGGAGCCTTGAAAATTAAATGAGATTAGCTATAATGAAAGTTTCATGATGTAATAATCCTGGTGGGGTATCAGCAATTTATCTCCGAGACGAGAGGAGAGTCCTGATTATACAACAGCCAATTATTGTGGAACTACTGAACATACTGAGATTAATGCAGTTCATGAAAGGAATTTGCATATTTGACAAACTGGCTTGTATAAACTGCACAATGTTAACTTTTTACATTTTTAGGTACAATATTAGAAAGGTATATATGCATTGATTCGCCAGCACATGCAATAGAGTTGAATACACTAAACATGTCTAAGATAATGTAATTGAATGCATCAACACATTATGAATCAACAGTCTAATCAAAATGACTATTAAAAACTTGACTTGACAAACAGTGACAGCATGAATTACAAAGCTATTGTACTGAATGGATTTTATTGTCTGTGTCTTAGTTGTTATTGTCCACCTCCATAGCTACCATTAACACGTTGTGTTATACACATGTGTGTATGTAATAGTAACAGCCTCACAGTGCAGTCAGAGTGTGTTCACAGACACTTCCAGACACCAGATACAAGTGTGTTTATGAATCCATGATGTTTTCTGCAGGATCTTCTGGGTTGACGCCCACTTGGACAGGATCGAGAGTTCGGACCTAAACGGGAAACTGCGTCAGGTCCTTGTCAGCCCGGTGTCCCACCCGTTCGCCCTCACGCAGGTACCCCCACCCCCAACCCTCCTCACCCTCCGCTGTGGGCTGACCCTCCTTCCTCCACTCACCTGCTCTCTTTCACTCATCGGCTCACCGTGTGACTCTCACTGGTCGTCTCTCCGTCCTCCAGCTCATACTGAACTCATTCGACTTAACCATTTCTTCTACTTCGCTTCCACTCTGACCCTCATTTTTCTTCCTCCTCTCTCCCTCCCCTTCTCCCTTCCCTTTTTCTTCCTCCCGTCCCCTCGCTCCTTGTCTGTGTTTTTTCCTCTCCTCTCTTCTTCTCCCTCGTTTCCCCAGTTGAAGCCGGTGTCCTCCCCTCTAACCCCTTTCTCCCGACTCTCGCAGCAAGACCGCTGGATCTACTGGACGGACTGGCAGACTAAGTCCATCCAGCGGGTGGACAAACACACCGGCCGTAACAAGGAAACGGTGCTGGCCAACGTGGAGGGCCTCATGGACATTATAGTGGTATCGCCTCACAGACAGACGGGTAAGGAGGCTTTTCTCCTGGCACCTCCATCACATATGAGAGACACCAAAGATACCTATCAATAATAACACAATGAAAAGATCATTGCCAATCTCAGTGATAAATTCTGAATTTTATAGCCTTTAGTTGTGTTGTTTGTCGTTCTAAAATGTTCAATATCAGTCTCATTGCGCTAAGCAGTTATAACCACTATTGACTGGTTAGAGAACTGGATCTTTTTTCTTTTTTTTTTTCAGCTTCTGTAATGAAAAAGTTTTGCGATTCTTAAAAGGATAATTCCATAAAAACACCACAAACTACATCCTCAAAAATGCACCTTAAATTAAATCAGACTCTCTGCTGCCAGTTGTGAATGTTCCCCTTCGTCTCATTCAGGGACCAACCTCTGTGGCGTGAATAATGGCGGCTGCACTCACCTCTGCTTCGCAAAGACCAACAGTTTTGTGTGTGCCTGCCCCGATGAACCAGACGAGCGACCCTGCTCCACCAGTGAGTGACCACCGTGATTGTACAGTGTGTGTTTTCATGTTCGACCATAAGGAACAAATCCTGTATTGTTGGCCAATTTGAAATGTTCATAGTGGGATTATCTTGGCCACCGTTAAAAAAAAAAAGATATAGAATGACGAAGTAACATGGGTAAAGTGACCAACTGTTTGTGTTTATCAGTTTCAGGTTACATCCCTACCTCTCCTGCCAAAGGAACCAGCAGCACTCCTGTCCCCAACAAGATCCCTAAAGCTCCAACAGACGCTCCGCACAGAGGACCCTCACTGGTCAAGTACGTCCGTTTGTCCATTTGAATATTTGTTTAACAGGAAAGCTCCGTTTCAAAGTGATCAGTTGCTTTCTGAGGAACAAGATGAAACGAGATGTTTCCAGATTTTCCGTCACTTCTTTTAGTAGTTCGACTAATTTGAAGAATTACCTTGTAAGAAGTAATTGGAGGAGTGAAGTTGCTTGTCCTTGATCAAAAAAACATTGAATTATTTCAGTCCTAAGAGGTTGGAGGGTTTTCTCACTCCACTGAGAACTAATTATGTCACTGTTCATCCCTTACACAAAACACAATGAGGTTTTCAGCCGGCAATGATACTACACAAGCTTACACACTCTTCCCAAAAGGCCTTGCAGAGCGTTATCTTCAGGGAAAACTATAGAATGGTTTTGACTTAATAAGGTCTTTTCCAGCTAATATTAAGAGAGTCTCCTAACGTACAGTCTGTTGCATTTCTGTCTTTTTTTTTTTTTTTTTCAGCTGCACTGACAAGAACCTGAGTGTAGAAGGCTGCTCGAGCAACGTGGTGACGGCTCCTCATGGTCAGTATACAAAACAGTTCTCATCACACTGCATGGAACAATCTGACAATCAAGTCTGACATTTGGGGAATTCACATTTACAATCTTACCTACAGTAAAAAGAGAAAAATCCATGTATTCATTTCATCCATGTGTCAAGTACAGAAATAGGTGGAGAGTCTGTTTAGCCTAGCTTAGCTCAAAGACTGGAAGCAGAGGGAGACTGTTAGCCTGGTTCTATGGAAAGTTTTTTATTTTTTTATTAAACAACTACAAACATATAAAGTTGAAACATTGTGGTTTTAGGTGAAATTGGTTGTAGCTGTTGGTTACTAGCTTGCTAGCTAACATAATAACAGCTTTGGAGGCGTTACATAATGATGTTTTTATCGTCATGTGGGAGGTACAGTAATTACTACTTTCCAACTTGTAAACATCATTCACATCAACCACCAAGCAATTATGACTGGGAAAGTGTTTTTTTTCTGAAAGCTCTGACATGTCTGACTTGGCACAAATAACATGGAAGTACCTGAAAAAGCAAACAAATATGGGTGCTGAAGTCAGCCAAACTCCATCACCAAGGTGATTAAATTCAAATGGACCGATGAATAGATATAATATTAAAACTTTGTTTACATAGGCCATTTCAAAAACACAGCCTCAAAGTTTGCCTTCATAATAAGAGAAGTGAAAACAGGTAAAACTAATGCAAGACAACAAATAAATTGATAAAAAAAAGCTGTTATTTTGATGTTTTCTTTACAAAATGGGAGTATTTTTAACCCTCACACGACCAACTCTGCAGTCATTAAACTGTTACTCAGAGATTGAGAAAGTTCATCCATATTGAGGTGTTGAGGAGAAACACAGTGAGACCTGCAGCAATCATCTTGAGTTTCTGTTGATGTGAACACTGATAAATCTTTCAGATCAGAGATCAGACTGTAAGTGGGTAGGAGCCACTGGATTTGCTCTGTAAACGCACCGCTCTTTAATATCTGTGCTATCTCGCAGGTGAAGGCCTCCATATCAGCTACGTGATCGGTGGAGTTCTGACCATCCTGGCTATTCTGATCCTCATCGCTGCTTTGATCATTTACAGGTCAGTCTGCTTGACACTTTTCCCATTGTTCTTACCCCCCGATCTTACAGACCCCGAACAGACTTCCATTCAATACACAGGAAATAGTTCAATGCGTAAACCACGTGCTGATTTTGATCAACAGACATAAAAAGTCAAAGTTCGCTGACCCAGGAGTGAGCAACCTGACCTACAGTAACCCCTCCTACCGGACATCCACGCAAGAGGTGAAGATCGAGGCGTCGCAGAAGCCTCCAATATACAACCAGCTTCGATATAAGAAAGAGGTAACAGACAGACTGGACACTGAAGTGAGAGCGACAGACTTTTTTTTTTTTTTTCTGTTGAGTAGATGAATGGATTTAAGGTGAATCCATGATATTTTCTCAGAATGATCACAGACTGTGTAGCTGTATGGTGGGTAACCACGGAGACAAATGACTTCACTGTTTGTCTCTGGTCATATTGATTGTGATGGATTGTGACATGAGCAGGTCACAGACACCAGCGCTCATCTTCTCCTCCCCCTCTATCTCCCTCACTGCAGCTCTCTCATCCCTACAACTCCCTCTCTCCCTTTATCTTTTGACCCACTTGTCCCGTGGAGAGGTAGTTACACAGCATGGAGGAGTCGTGTCCTCTCCAGTTGTGTTTTCTCTGACTTGTCCTTCTTTGTTTTTCCTCATTTCTTCTGTCTTTCACCGCATGCAGTCTGCTATCCAATAATTAATCATTTCTCTCTTTGGTGCTGTTTCTGAGATCTGTGATCAGTAGCATGTCAGTGTTTTTACTACTATATTTATATTTTATTTTCCTTGTGAAACTGACATTTCAACAGGCAGGCGATCTAAATGTGTGGATAGATAATGTTAAAGGTGCTACATGTATTATATATCTCTCAAATTAATTGTGAAGCCTTGGAATAACCATAAGCAACATGTTGAGCATCATAAAGCCAACAGTTTCAGGCAAGAACACTGACATTGACTGATGTGAGCTGAGCTGTTGTTTTTTTTCATGCTGGAGATGAAGACACACTGTCCAAATTACTCCTGTGCAACAGTTGACTGAATCATCTCCATGAGTATTATATGCAGCGCTGTAGCCTGGCTCCATGTGCTCTGGAAAAATAACACCATCCCCCAATTCAGTGGATTTAAGCTGACAGCCTGGTGTTTTTGTTTATGCTAATTATATACCTGTAGCACCTTAATCTGAAAATGAAAAACTAACTAACTCCAGAAGAAAGCACAGCAGCATTACTAAAAGGAACCAACTTGCTGTGCATGGGTTGTGTTTAAAGGTGACATCTTGTTCTGGGGTGTTGTGCAGTTTGTCTCTGATTAATCCTTAAAGGGGAATCCACCTTTTTACAGGCTGAACTTTTCAAATTTTGGTGTTTGATGTTTTTCTAACGGATGTTAACATCAATCAACTATAACTATTCTTTAAATAAGAGTGAAGGGATAGGATTAAGGAAGCAAGAAATAGAGAAAAAGAAATGGGCATGTGAGAAAGAAATCAAGGAAAGACTCGCAAAATCATAATTCGACCCCTGGGAATTGTTTAGTTGAACAGTTTGAAGCTGAGGGTGGATTTTTCCTTTAAACTGCTGACATACGCAGAGGCCGTCACTCTGACTAGACTAACTGAGTCTCGTTGTCCAGGGGGGAGTGGACGGAGGCTACACCAAGGAAAAGATCCGCATTGTGGAAGGCGTGTGTCTCCTGTCCAATGAGGAGCTTTACTGGGACGACCTAAAACAGATCAAGCCGTCCAGAGGAGGCCTGCACACCTGCATGCGCACAGACACCGTGTCCCTGCAGGCCAGCAGTGCTTCGCTAGATGATGGCGAGACGGAGCAGCTCCTCCAGGAGGAGGCGTCCGAATGCTCTTCCATAACCACCCTGACTCCTTCAGCCATCACCCCGCAGCGTCACGCCCAGCACAGCCTGCCCGACACTGGCTGGACCTCCACACGCAAGCCCTCTACCGAGAGCGAAGTGTGAGGGAGGCCCCCCCCCTCCCCCGCCGCCGCCCTCTGTGCTTTATCTAAACCTCTGTTACCTAATACACACATACACACACATACCTGTATTTATAGCTGGTACAAAAACACAAAGGTAAATAGGTACAATCACAGTAACATTTGCATATGTAGAGTAACGGTACATATGAACCTGGTTAGACACAACTAAGCTCCCATAAACACAACTCCTGTCTCTGAAAATGGGGCTCCGTCCTACTTGTGCGCGCACACACACACACACACACACACACAC